CCCTGCAACACTGTGAGGGCTTCACCCAGGGCACTGCTCTGATTGGATGTAAGAAACTTTTCCTCTCCCAAAGAACAGTGATGCAGTGGCACTGCTGCCCAGGGAGGTGGGGTCACCATCCCTGAAGGTTTTTGAGAACTGTGAGATGTGGCTCATGGGGTTTAGTGGGCATGGTGGGGATGGGTCAGCTGCTGCGCTTGGTGATCTTGGAGATCTTCTTCAACCCCAATGACTCTATGACTCCCAGTGCCTACAGTGCAGCTCAGTGCTATCAGATGCTCCTGGATGGTGTTGGAGGCCTGTGCTGCTTCCATCCTTCCTCACTCCAAAACCTACCTGGAGCAGAGGAGCACCCTGTGCCCAGCAGCTGCTGCAGCTCAGCCTCTCCCTGAGTGGGATTCCAGCCTGTAGCCCCTCTTCTTTTCCCACGTGTGTGAGTGTGAGCCGACCCAATCCTGCTCTAACATCAGGGTGAACGCTGGGAGCAGCTCCAACCCCAGCAGTGCAGCTCCAGCCGTGCCCCAAACCAGATGCTTCGGCCGAAGACGCCAGGAGCTGCCTTAATAAGCGATTATGCAATCCTTCTCGCACGGAGGAAATGTCTTTCCCAATCCCCAGCCATTAGCAGTTGGCTTATGCCCTGGAGCATGACATTTTAGAGCCCTTGTAAATTTGCTTCAGGAGTGGAAAGCGTCCGGAGGAGGGGCTGGCGCTGGTTTGTGTCAGTGCCGACACCAGGGGGTGGCTTTGGCCACTGCTCCCTGCCGATGGGCGGATGGCACCGCGGGTCCTACATCAGGGCTGGGGGACAGCAGTGCCACCCCTGCCCTGACCCTGAGGCTCTGGGGCTCCGCACGGTCTCTGCATGGAATTTGGGTGGAAAGACCTGGATTTTGGGTAGAAAAGCGCCTCCTGCTTCAGTGCTCCAGTTTCTCCTGGAGGAAGAATGGAGTGGGGCAGAGAGGCTCTCTGTGCACCTGGGCTGCGACTCGAAGCTCACGGACCCATTTTTCCATCATCACGAATTGTGTATCCACGGCAGGTAACGAAATGCAAAGAGAAAATCCCTTTGTGGCACATCCCCCTCCACCGAGCTCCCTCATTTCAGGGTGAGTGAGGCTCAGAGGGAACGGCTTTGGGCTCAGTGCTGTCACTTCATCCCTTTCTCCTATTGTTCGCATCCCAACATCACTGCAAACTGACATGGGACGTCTTTGGGGCTCGGCCGTTCTGCCCCGCTCCGCCGGCACAATGAGCCGTTGTTGATTTGGCCGCAGCAATTTTCCAGGTTAATTTATGGCCGCCACACCCCATTAGCGGCAATAAATGTGGAGCCCGGTTTTGCCGAAATCGTGAGTTACGATTTTTCAAATAAATACATTTTCCTATAAACCAGCGCTGTGTTTAGGTTGAGTGTTCCGCGCAGACACATCCATCTACATAAAATACACAGGAGAGGAAGCTGAGCTGTGACTCCGCTCTGATGACATAAAAACTTCTGTAAACACAGTTGTCATTTACAGTGCGCGCGGAGGAGAGGGGAAAAAAATAAACAGCGAGCGCCTGGCGCATCCCTGCAGGAACACATGGAAAATTTAATAATCTTTTTTCCATAAAGCTTTGTTTTCGGTTTGATTTATCCAGACAAGGCAGTGCCGGGTTGGCCATAAATAGATTGGGTTGCTGGAGGGGGAATGGCTGAAGTGGGAGTGTTGTACAGAGGGGGTGGGCAGCACCAGGGCTGTGGGACATCGGTGGGGTGACAATGCCTGGGAGTGGGGTGACAGCGGGGCAGCAAAACTGGGCACTGCACCCCACTTCTGTAAGCACAGCACAGCTCGTGCCTCAGTTTCCCTGTGCTCTTCCCAAAGCCTGGAGCAGCAGCGGTGCTGGGAAGGTGCTGAGTGATGATTATTGCAGTGGTTCAGGAGAGTGCTATAAATATCCGGGGGCACCTTCAGACACAGCCCTGCTGCCCCGGGGGGGGCTGGCACAGCCCTGCTCTTTTGGATGCTGGGTTTGGGGTAGCTGGGGTATGACCTGCTTGAGGAGGGGCACAACTTGCTGGGGGTGGGGAGGCATTGGGGATGGATCCTGCCCAGCTGCACCCCAGGGTGGGGACGCAGCCGGGTGCCGGGATGCTGCGGGGAAGACAAGGGGAATATTTTACGGGGCTGCAATGTAAACAGAGTTGGAGCAGAGCCCCTTTTTATGGAGTCCCTGTCCTGCCAGGGCATCTGCCAAGACCCTGATTTACACTCCTATTTAGATAAGGGAGCAGGGGAGGGGGAGCGGAGCTGGCGTCAAAGTCACAGCACAGCCTGGGCTGCCGTGCGCCGGGAGCTGATAAGGGGCTGCCCCAGGGTTGGGGCTGAAACCACAGCCCCTGTGCAGGGCAGGTGATGGATCTGGGGTGTCGGGGGCCAGCGATAGCCTCACCCCACCGCGATGTGCAGGACGCCTTTCTCCAGGCAGGATTTGAAGGAAAACAGGTGGGGAGAAGCAGAGTTCCTCCTGCAGTATGAGCCATAAATCCCCTAATCTGAACCGCTTGCCATTTCCCCCCAACACAAACGGGAGATGCAAAACTTAAAGAAACTCACCCAAAGTTGGAGAAGTGCTAAATTTGGATACCGTGACAAAGGCAGCCTGGTTTGATTTAGAAGGTGTTGGAGTGAAAAGGGCTCCAGTTTTATTATTTTATTAAAATACGAAAGATTAGAATGATTTTCCAAAGGAAAATCAACGCAGCGATCCCATTATTTGCTCAGCTGAATTCTTCCAGTGTGCACAGGGACTGCTGTCAGAAGGGGAATACAGGAAGATAGTGCGTGGGCTGGGGCTGAGCTCAGGGGGTCCAGTGTTACTCAGTGCTGCAGCACCCATATCCCATGGGATGCAGCTGTAAGAAGGCTGCACACAGCAGTGCTTTGGGGGATTTGGGGGGACGCTCTTCTGCGTGACCCCAGTCTGGTGATTTGCTGGATCAGAGCTGTTTTAGGGCTGGGAATCACCAGAGGGAGCAGAGCGCTGTAGCTGTAGTTGATGCTGTGCTGGCACAAAGTGAGACCCGATGGCATTGGCACCCCCCAGCCTCATGCAGGGCTCAGGGATCCCACCCAGATACCGGCACTTGGGAGGAAATCGGGGGGTGGAGGGGACGCATGACCTACCCAAGGCCCGACTTAACGGCGGGGTAATCACTAGCAAATGTGTGCAGGGTGCTTGTTTAAAGCGGGTGGGGAAGGGGGCATCATCAGAGAACAAAGCAGGGGGTGAGATGGGCCCCCCCCAACCTCTGGGGCCCGGCAGCAGTGGGAACCCCCTTGCACCCTGCCCCACTGAATGGGGGGGGCCCAGAGCCCTGCCTCCCGCCTCTGCAGCGCGCCTTGTAACAGCTAACGATGGAAAATCCGAGGCATTTAAGTGGCTCCCGAATCCGCCCGGGAACCGTGATTGAGAGAAGTCAAATAAAATTTGTCATCTTTAAAATGCAGGAGGACGTTAATGGTGTGTTAGCCCGGATGATTAATACAAGCGCCTGCAAACAACCCTTCCAACGTTTCCACCCTCCGCTGCAAGATGAATCGCTGCAAAACTCCGTTAATCGCTAACATACCTCGGGCCAGAGCCCCTTCCTGCCCCACTGCCGCCGTCACCACCGCAGTGCCCTGCTGTCCACGCTGGGACAAACTGGGGCCGGCCCCGGTGCCACCCGGAGCTGTCAGCTGGGGAGTCATCAGCCAGGGCTGAAGCAGCACGGCTACAACAGGGCTCAGCCTGGGGATGGGGGAAGTGCAAGAGCAGCACTGGGACCCCCCATCTTAGGATGGGGAAATGCAGGGCACGTCCCCACGCACCCACTGCTCTGTCAGAAATGTGTTAGTGTGCATGCACAGGGCAATTTCTATGTATTTATATCTGTAGGTGTGTGTTTTCTGTGCATGGGTGTGCATACGTGTGTATGCGTGTGAATAAATATGTGTAAAAGCACATGGAGAGTGCAGATATCTATGCACAGGATACATTGTGGGTGTGTGCAGGCCACATAACACATATGTGGTGGCATGATGTGTGTGTGCAGTGCATTAAATGCATGTGTGTGCGTGGCTGCAGCTAAGTGTGACCCAGTTGTGTGAGCAGTGCATGCACGTGTGCCTGTTTGTGTGCAAGTGCTGTACGTGTGCTTTCCCCGAGTGCACTTGCACACATCTACGCAACACATCCGTGTGCTGATTGTGGATGTGCAACATGCTCCCTGCATGCAGGGCTCGCATGCAACAACCTGAGGGTCCAGCACCACCATCCCAACACACACAGCCCAGGGGTGCTCCCTGCCGTGCCCTCACCCTCCTCCCTGCATTGCAGCACCCTTGGCCGCACCGCTCTCACTGGGTCGGGTCCTGCCTCCCCCGTCCTCCCCACGACTTCAGCTCTGGGGAAGCAGAGCCCCCTGTGCTCCTCAGTGCCCACCCGCCTGCCGCACCCCGCAGCTGCCTCCATTCCCCCGATGGGTGCTTCTTGGGAGGGGGCGCGGATATCCCGGCCCAGGAGAGGGAAGAAGAGGGGATCACGAAGGCTGCGGTCCCCCTTTGGTCACCGCTCGCCCCTTTTTCCACGTAGGGAGGGAGGAGAGCGAGCGGCGGAGGTGTGAGCCCGAATAAAACGCCCCTCCGCTCCCCCCGGGGCCCCCGAGCATCCTCCCCTGCCCATTGGTTCCTCGGTGGGGGGAGCCCCGGCCCTATATAAAGGCAGAGCCGGGAGGCTCCAGAAAGGGTGAAAAAAAAAAAAAAAGAAGAAGAAGAAGAAGGAAAAAAAAAAAAAAAAAAAAAGAAAGAAAAGGAAAAAAAAAAAACCAACCCAGCCAACAACGAAACAACCCAAAGCCCAAAGGCACCACCGCCTCCAACGTCGCAGCCCCGGCCCCGCCGCCCGCCCGGAGGAGCGCAACGCAGCCCGGCCATGGCGCGGTGCTGAGCCCCGCGGGGCCCCGACGGACCATGAACCTGGTGGGGGGCTACCAGCACCACCACCACCACCACCACCATCACATGCTGCACGAGCCCTTCCTCTTCGGGCCGGCGGCTCGCTGCCACCAGGAACGCGCTTATTTCCCCGGCTGGGTGCTGAACCCGGCCGAGGTGACCCCGGAGCTCCACGGGCAGAGCACCGCGTACGGCCCCGCCGAGTTCGGCTCCGGAGGAGCGGGCAGGCTGGAAGCGCTCAGCGGTCGTTTGGGGAGAAGGAAAGGAGTCGGGGGTCCCAAAAAGGAGAGGAGGAGAACGGAGAGCATCAACAGCGCTTTCGCTGAGCTCCGCGAGTGCATCCCCAACGTGCCCGCCGATACCAAGCTGTCCAAGATCAAGACGCTGCGCCTGGCCACCAGCTACATCGCCTACCTGATGGAGGTGCTGGCCAGGGACAGCCAGCCCGGAGAGCCCGAGGGCTTCAAGGCCGAGCTCAAGAAGGCCGACGGCCGAGAGAACAAGAGGAAACGGGAGACGGTAAGCGGCGGCCGCGGCCCTTCCCCTGCGCTGCCCGACGGGAGCGGCGGGGCTGAGGGAAAAACCCTCCCGGCACTGCTGGGGAATTGCTTTTCCCTTTAAAAAACAAAACAAAACAAAAAAAAGGAACAGAATAACGTTGGGGATTTCGGTGGAGGAAAGGTCGGGATTCGCGCGGACGGCACGGGGCAGCGGCCCGAGGGCTGAAATCGCGGCGGGTCCTTCGTTCCCCATCAGCCGGGCCGGATCGGAGCGGGGCGGCCGCGGCTCTCCCGTCCGTAACGGGAGGAACAGATCGCATCCTATCGTAATAGCAATAATAACTGTAACGGCAGTAATAACATTAACAGCAACCGTGATCATAATATCATTAGTAATAATCATAGAAGAAAAAAAGGAGAAAAGCAGACTCCCTATCCCGGGGCTGCTAAGAGCCGCTTTGCTTGGCCCGGCTCTCCTCTCCTCACCGCTCTTTTCTCCGCAGCAGCCCGAGGTGTACTCGCAGCCTTTGGCTCACGGCGAGAAGAAGCTGAAGGGCCGCACCGGTTGGCCCCAGCAGGTCTGGGCTCTGGAACTGAACCCCTGAGCCCCGCTCCATGTGCAATGCCGTCGGGGAGGAGCGGGGGGAGCAAAGCGGGGCCGGGTGCCGCCGTTCCCCCCCCCTCTCCCCGGGCTCCGTCCCCGTTTTGAAGCCATCCCCGCTCCCCCCGCCGCCCGCAGCCCCCGCCCGAGCCGGGCCGGGTGGGATCGGTGTTGTTCGTTCGCTGTTGGAATAGCGGAGAAACCCCGACCGCGGCCGAGAGACTGCGTTGAAACTACCTAAGGTGCCTCCGGTACCGCGCCTGGGCCGGGCGTTCTACCTCAGCTCTGCATGACCACTTCCCGAGGGACCGGGCGCGCCACACCACGTATTTAAAAGAAAACAAACAAACAAACAAACAAACAAAACCCCAAACCCGGAATAATTAAAAAAAATTAATAACAATAAAATTTAATCTTTATGCAAACGATCCCGGGTCCGCCCGCTCCTCCTTCCCCGCCGGCTGCAGAACCGCGCTGTTGGTTGTTGGATGGGGCAGCGGGGCACTTTTTTGCAGTTCCCCGTCCTGCAGCCCCCGCCCGGTGCGTGGTTCTGGGATGCACCGCAGCGCTGTGTGCGGGGCGGCACCGCGGGCTCCGTTCCATCGCAGCGCTGCACGGGACGGCGCTCCCTGCGGTTCCCGTTCCTCTCCCCACTTGGCAGCTCCTCGCACGGCTTCTCGCAGCGCTATGGCAGGGCTGAGCCCTCCGCAAAACCCCAAACCTCCTCATTGCAGCCTCTCAGTCACGGCTCCTTGGGCTGCTCGGGGCAAAACCAGGATGAGAACGCCATTAATTCATTGTAGGGTTAATACGAGGGCTTAGCTGGGAGCATTCTAGCTTCTATTTTCACTAAAAATATATCAACAAGGATGCAACACCTATAAATCGCAGACGTTCCTATGAGGATCGCTGGTTTAAGGATCACAATGTGTGTGTGCCTGGATCTGTATGGCCGTGCTGTGGGTACGGATGGTGTAAGGAAAGGTGTGAGATGCAGCCCTGGCCCCTCCAGCCCCACCGCAGCTTTGTGCCCGAGTAGAGCCATCCTCCCGCTGCACTGCTTTGTATTCACATTATACAAAGTTCCACATGGCATCGGATCTGAGAGTTAAATCAGGAGGGGGCCCTCGTAAAAACAAAAAGAAGAAGAAAAAAAAAGAAGAAAACGTATAGAAAAGTGGCTGGCAGTGTCCTATTTAAGGTTGAGTTTCACCATCCCTTATGGGGCTGCTTTATAACGCTCCCAAGCTGTCTCTGGACACCACGCAGTGCTGTGCCATGATGGTGCAGTCTGAGCTCCTCTTCACACGTTCCAGCCACTCTCCCTCACCCGTATGGCATCGCACGGGGCTGCCCCATAGCGTGGGCTGGGAGGAAGGGTGATGGATGTGTGGACAGTTGTGTTGCAGAGGAGTTGTGCAGCAGTGTCCCCGGTCCCAGCACTGCACTCTCATCACCTGCAGCCTGGGCACACTGTGCCTGCAGCCTTACCGAAAACCTCTGCTGCTGTTTCTCCTGTGGGTTTTCAGTTCTGGCAGTGGGATGCCCAGCACTGTTGGTGCAGCTCCTCAAGCACTGCTGTTTGGAGCACAGTGCCTACTGGCAGACAGCATGTGGGACATCACTGCCACACACACCTCCCTCATGCCTTTGTGGATTTCTGAGTAAAAATGCTGTTTCCACATTCACAGCAAGGAGATTTTTCAGTGAGATTAGATCACAAAAATGAATGCTATATGTTTCCTGTGCCCTTGTGGTGCAGATGGGCTGTGTGTGTGTGAGCAGCCTGGCGTGCAGGGATTGCTGAGCTGGGGAACAGCAGCTGCGGGACATCCTGACAGCGGGCAGGCAGCTGCGTGCAGCTCCTACCTCACGCATCCCCTTTCCCACCCAGCAACACGTACCGAGTGGCAGCTGGGCCGTCAGCTTTGCACTTTCGGCCACCTGATGGCACACCTCACACTCGACCCTGCCGTGAACTTGGTGCTGCTGGGACACGACAGCTCCCAGCACGGGGCTGCGGCAGCTCGGGGAGAAGAAAACGCCCCAGGGCAGCACCCTGTGTGCTGCAGTGCCTCCACTGGGATGCAACCACCGGGAATGGTGGAGTGGACCCTGACCAGACACAGGTATAGGAGTTGGGCAGCAGCTCTGTCGGGTCCTTCTCACTCCATCCCTGCACATCTGGGGCTTGGAAGAGTCCTCTCGTCCTCTTGCATACTTCTGCCAAGCTGAGACCCCGCTCCTTGTTGTTGTAGGTATTTATGGGCCTGTTTATCTGATCTCCAGGGAGCCCGCTCTTATCTCAGAAGCAGCGACGGAAGGGTTACGCTGGACAGCTCAGTAGACAGTATGGAGCCAAATAAAATACCAATCTGACAAAAAAAAAAAAAAAAAAAAGAAAGAAAAAAAAGAAACACCCAACTTCAGCCCCAACCCCAGCTCAGCCAGAAACAAAAGGGGACCTGGAGCAAAACGGTGAGGTCAGGGGGTGCTGTGCACAGTGTGGGAAGGGGAGCGGCACCGATGCAGTGGTGCAGCATAGGGAGATGTATGGGGTACCTGTGGGTACCATCAGCAGGCTGGAACTAAGCTCAGTGCTGCTGCAGCCTCCAGCAAGAGCCACACAGGCGCACGGGGCAGCGGAGCTGTCCTCTAAGAGCACTGAAAAAGCAAAAGCAAAAGGACTTTTTTAAAAACTCAGGGCTTTGGTGACCTGCACTGCAGCAGAGCCAACCCCAGCCCCAGCGGCAGCTCCCCCTGACGGTCACGGCCAGGGCCAGGGCAGATGCAGGGGGATGGGGTCGGTGATGCAAGGCAGGGCTGGGGGCAAACCCTGTGCCATGCAGCCCACACCCACCAGCAGTCAGCCCTGGCCTGCAGGTCAGATGCAGCTCAGCCAGCACAGGATGGGATGTCTCCGTGCAGGAGGGGACCCTATGCCAAAGGGAGGGTGTCCCACTCACCCCTCCCAATCCCCCCCATCACTGCCCCCTCCCCAGCCCGCACCCCAGTAATGACCTGCTCTTAAGGAAGCGCCTGACAGTTGTGGCCATTTAAGGTAGCCCCAGCCCCTCTCGGGAGGGGTAATTGGGTCATAATTTGTTTTCGGTGTCAAGATGGCGTCAAAGATAAGACAAAAATCTCCAGGTTTGGGGGCTAAAGAGACAGGAGAAATCCTGACCCGAGGCCGACCTCAGAGGAATGGCCACAAGCTCCGGTAAGGAAGATGGCAGGTGAGAGATTTACAGCTGGGGCAGCTTTTTGATCCTCTCCCAACACTCGGAGCCGCTGAGCCCAGTTGCCGGCTCCCGGGTCAGACTGTCTCCTGCAAGGACTGCTCAGGTGGAAGGATTCTGTCCAGCACAGGGCCCCTCAGCTGCAATGTTCCCAGTGCTTTTCCTTGAATCTCCACGCTTGTGGAGCCACGTGACTGGAGACCCACCTAAAGGGAAGACTTGTTCCCAAATCATAGCTGTAGGCACAACCTCCAAACACAGGCTGACACTGCAGGTAGAAGGCAGATAAACACTCTTGCTTTTGTTTATTTTTAAATAAATCCACACTCTCTGGCTTTGCACCCCTCTGACAGTCCCCACTTGGATCCACCAGCACTGTGATCCGCCCAGGCTGCAATTCCCCATACAGCCAACAGTGCTGGAAGAAAACCAAGAACAACACAGCCTTCCCAAGAGCATCCCTGGCACAATGGACAAACTGCAGTCCCGTACCCTAAACCTCTCCAACACCACCAGCCTGCATTGCTTCACCCCATGAAGGATCCATCTCCAGCTGGGAGAAGTGCACATTTACTGCTCTCACAACACTCACATGCTCGGGGTGGGGTCAGTAAGTATTCTCCACAGCAAGCATCCTTACTTGTCAAGTTCCCTTTTTTTCCTCCCTGTTTGTTCTTTTGCATGAGGAATTCAGGTCCTGACCACCCTGAAAGACTTTACAGTAACCAGAGAACCAGGGGAATTTATGGTGTCACCAGCAGCTGAAAGGAGAGGAATCAAGAGGAAAAAGGATTTTTTTTCTCAGTCTGCAGCTACCTTGACAAAAGTTCTCATGGCCTATAACTGACCTGCAGGAGCAGTCTGGTTGGAGTGCCTCAGCTGGGAGCAGCATCCCAAGGTGAGGGGCTGGGCAGCTCTATGTGATGAGCTGCTGCACAACATGTGTCAAACCAAAAGCTCCCTCAGCTGTTCTCATTCCCTTTCCAAGTGCTCCTGCAGACCAGCCCAGCTTTTTATGTGAGGGTCAGAGCTTACATCCAGTAAATGGTGAAATTCTTGGAGGGGGGGAAGGAGGGTTGTGGGAATTCCTTCCATTAAAAAGGTAGGTTTGGATCAATGAGGACATCAAACTGGTGGGCACCTGCCTTGCGGTCACTGCTTTCCCCTGCATGGGCAGCTGTGCTTTCACCTTGGTGCTCTCTGCTGAGGAAGCAGATCCTGGAAAACATTCAAAAAACAATTAAGTAAAAGCATATTAGGGGGCTTTGAGGTACTTAGGAAAGAAGCCAATGCTGCTTGCAAGGATAAGAGATCTCACTTGGCAAAGTGAGATTGAGTGTTGGCAGAGTTGCACAGTCACCTCTTATTGGATACAAGGAAATAAATTAAAAAATAAAAATAAGAAAAAAAAGAGCAAACCCAAGCCCTGAGGCTCTTCCTCCACCCTCAGCCTGCTCTGCTCAATCACATCTCTAAAGCATAAAACCATTAAACGTATATTTGCATTTTTCCCCAGTCCTCTGTGCTGCCCTTTCTGCTGAGGAGCGGAGAACCGGAGCCTGGTTTCCATCAGCACAGCAAGGAGGCTGCAGGAGGGCTCACACAGACAATCAGACATGTTCAATTTCAATCTCCAGCAGGGAAAAAAACAGAACAAAACAAAACAAAAAACTAACAAACCAACCATTTTTATGGTCTTCTCATCCCACTGCAGCATCACTCCACTTCCACTATCTGATGAGCCCAGCCAGCCCCTGCCCAGCAGCCACCCTGGGGACAGTGTGCTATCCCCAGTCCGTGGGCACCCAGCACAGTGTGCTAACACTGCCCTCGCACGGCAGCTGGGAGCACAGGAGGTAAGACGGTCTCGGCCAGGGCTCTCAGTCTGCTCGCTGCTGTTTCTGAGTGTAAATACACGAAAAAGAGACTGAGTGGATTCCTCCCTGGTTTTGGAGCATGAAAACTGTGGGTTGCTCGGCGAGGAGCCAGCATGAGATTAAGCAGCATTATCTGTGCAAGCTGCAGATTCATCAGCAGTTTGTTTCCAGCACTGGATTTTCCAGTGCACCCTGTGTGCTAAAGTTGGCATCTGCAAAACTGCTGTTTGAAGTTGTTCTCCCTTCAACCCTGCTGCCTTTCCCCCATCAGCTCCTCGTTGTGCTGGCAGAACCCACGCTCACAGCTTTGGGAATGCAAATTATGCAGCTTTTCCCTTTCCATTGGGGTTTGCTGCCCTTGTCCTCACCTGAAGATCTTTCCCTGACACCTCCTAAAAATGCTTGGCAACATGCAGGTGACGTCCTGCAAAGTTTCTACTCCTGCTCCTTGTGACCTCTGGTCTTGTCTTCTTCAGCTGAAGGTTCCCCAGCTCTCCTGCAGCACGCTGCCATGCATGCAAAAAGATCCTGAATCTTTCTTCAGCCTTCCAGATGTCCCCAAACACAGGCAGTGAGGACACAAGGACTTTTCTGGAGTGCCAGCTCAGTTCCTCCCAGCTCTCCATTGCGTTACAGACTGCTTTTAGCTAAGAGATTAGATTCAAACAATTACTGATCGCTGATTTTGCTGCACATGATAACTCGACAATGAAAAATTCAGGTAATATATTTTGAGTGTAAAGCTCTCAGCATTCTATAATTCTTCTCTGTGATAGTCCAGGAGTCTGAAAAGCTATGCTACAACGTCTTTCCTGGCTAAAAATCAAGGCATAAACATACCTGAGACAGTACCAGCAGAGACTTAGGAAATGCCATGAAATGCTTCAGGAGAAAAAGTATTCCAGCCACAACTTCTGCCATAACTCACTTCTTACTGTAGCAAAACACAGGAGTTGTCTTTGCTTACAAGGATGATGATCAGGATAAAGAACAATACAGGAAAATGAAATGAAACAGAGCTCTGCATGGAAGACAATCTCTCTGCTTAACTGATTTAACACTGTGACGTCACACGTTAGCATTGCTCTGGAGCAGCACCCACCTTAGCAGCTGGGCTGTGAATCAGAAACACCTGCCACAAAACATCCATGCAAAGCAAAGTGCCAGTGGTTCTGGAGCTGAAAATGCTAAGAGAAGAAAAGCAAACACAAAAGGGAATGTAGGCCTTGTTGCTAGATAGATCATTTATTAAAGTGAAATTCAGCATTTTATCTTTGTCAGACAGTATAGATTTATAGTCTTATACACAGTGGAAGCAGGACATTTCCTACACCTCAGAGAAATGAGTTCTACAATTTTGCTATAAGTTACTAAGTAGCTTTAACAATACACAGCTATATTACACAGTTAAAAATACAAGGTGTCCAAAACATTTGGCATAATATCAGCACAACACATGGAGGCCAGAAACAGAAGAGAGAACACAGTTTTCCTCTCCCAGTAAGCCACTGAAAGACTCCAAGCCATTCTGTGAGTTACCTGCTGTTCACCTCCCCTGCACCCCAGTGCTGGGCAGGACAGGAACCAACCCAACCCTGCCAGGGTGCAGCTGGGAGATGCTGGAGGTGTACAGCATGGCCTGCAGAGATGCTTGCGAGGGAAGTTTGGGTTTAAGGCAGAAGCCCCCCACTACTCCCCACATTTTCTTCAACCATTTCATGCATTTCTAACAGACGTGTTCACAGCCAAGTCAAAAACACGAGATCAGGGACAGCTGTGAAAAGTGCAAGGAGCATCTTACATCGTAACTGTTTGCACTTTGAAAGTGGAAAATGAGATCTCCCTTAACTTGGTAAGCTAGAGATGGCTAAAGGACATCAGTGACAAGAGGAGTGAGGCATCAATAACATTCCTTCACCTTTAGGACTCTTCGGTTGACGCTGTGGGCAGTGCAAGGACTCCTTCTGGTAGGGAGACCACCTCCTATTACCCACTCTGTTAAACTGTAGAAGCAAAGTGACGCTAGTGCTCTAGGGAAGTATAATGATCTGCCAATTTAAATAAACAGTCCTCCAGCAGACCATTTCTCTTCCCTCCAACTGCAGTTACTGCTGAAGATCTCCCATTGGTATTTACATTTGGCTCAACCAAAAGACGTAAAGTGCACAGCTCCCCCTCCTTCCCCTCTCATAAAACATCCATTACTACAGTTAACACAGAAAGAGTCTTCCCCCACCTTGCTAACTGTGGAAGCGTGTTTTGCTCAGCCTTTCCATGGGCTGTGTCCTGTTTCTTTTTCTACTTGCCATCACGATGTGCTTGAAAGCATGCATTTACTCTGGATTATTTTGGCTCATGATTTTAAACCCTCTCTTCTTGTACGTAAGATCAACTTTAAAATGTCAGACAGCATGTTTAGATCAAACTTTGTACACCACGGTATCTGGTGGTTTACAGCCACATTTCTGAGGAAAACTGGGACACCAGAGTATTGGGGCCAAGCAGTACAACCCTGTCCTCTCTGCTTTTCTCAGTCTGAACATCTAAAGTGCCTGTCAAAAGAAACATTAGCTTTTAACGCAATTGCTTACTTCTGGTTGATATGCAATATTCTTTGTGAGGCAAAGTTTTACAAAAACTGCATTCTGACCCAGTCTCCTTGGAAATGCACGCACTTCTCAGCCACCAGATTGTTGCTGTCTTCACTCTTCACATTTCAAACTCCCCTGAGTTGAGCTCAAGCCAATAACTATCAGTAATTATTTCTTCTTCTTCCCTTAAAGAGAGCAGAGGGTCAGCACACAGGATAAAATTAACTCTGGTAGAGATGTTTCTGCATTATTTGGATTTCATACTAATGGCTTTGGATCTGATCAGAGGTCTAATGAAGTTGATGCAACTCTTCAACGAGGATTGAATTAGGCTATGGAATTGAGTTAGGCTATGTAATGGCTGGAGGGCTTCAAAGACAATTCCTCTACCCCTGGGTGAACATCTCCTATGCAGGCTTGTAAGAAATAAGCTTCCACTATATCATAAATGGAAAATGACATATAGTCATCCCCCATGCCCCAAGGCTTGTGCTCCATGGTTCAAAGCTAGACAGAATTTAAGGCCCAACTGTGAAAAGCAAAATGTAAAAGAGGCAAAAAACCAACAACAACCCACCAAATATCATACCAGCCAAAGCCATCTGGGTCTTCTGCCTTTCCAACGAGTCTCATCTAAAAGTGCTACAAAGACCTCATGGCTTCACAAGTGTGAGGTTCAAACACGTTTACTTCGAAATTAAAAAAAAAAAAAAAAAAAAAAAAAAAAGAGTTGGAAAGTCTTTTTTAATTGGCATGCAGCATAAGGAATCAGATACACAGAATGGTATTGTACAGAATGACAATTGCATTGTTGCGTTTTCTGGTTATTAGACACTAAATGCTTTTCAAGAATCACAGGCACCCTGAACATGGATATTGCTACTGAATTGACATGTGATTTCAGTTTATAGCATGGCAGCCATAAAGTGGCTAACCCTTTCAACAAGACATCAGCTTTCATTTGCTCAAGGCGTTTTGCTCTAGCTAAGTTGAGAACAAGGCAATAAGGCATTCGCAAGGATTTATAAGGCTATGGGGTCTGACAGCCAAGGATTCTTTTGGGGTTTTTGTTTTTTTTTTTTTTGGTATCTTGCCCCTAAGTTTTCCACCTTATAAACAACTGCTAATGGCTGGTAAACATCACTTCATCATCACACATCATCATCATCATCATTATTATTATTATTTTTCCAAAAAAGTATAATTGCTTTAAGAGTGAAACCAAGGATCACATTTTACATCAATTGACTATTTTCAGAAAAAAATAAAATAAAACAAATTCCTGGATACCACCTCTGCACAAAGCATTCCAGTGAATACACCTGAACAGATGGAACCTGCCACCATATTTCCTCAAAAAGAATCATTTTGCTGCTGGCTGCTAAAACACCCCAACAGATGTATTTAGTCCTAGAAATAAAACAAATAACAAAAAAGCCCAAACTACTTTTTTTTTTTTTTTTTTTTTTTTTTTCAGTTTTGGTCTACAGGTTACGCTGAGGCAAAACTCTCAACTCAGAAACTCATCTTCCCTTAATAATATCCTCTGACTACGTGAGCACTTTGAGTATTAATATGCAGTCAGTGAAAATACCCTTTTAGCTATCCGTCCTGAATGAGAGAAGCCAGATCTCGTTGACTGATGTGGGAACTGCTCCATCCTTCCAGTAAGGATCACCATAAGTCAGAAATTTTTAGACATTCACAAAATACCAGTACTTGACATTCTCTCCTCATTCTCTGAGCACTTCTCCTGTCCGATGTTCTTTGATTCCACACCGAACTGAACAAGGAAATGCTGAAACCACCACACTCCCAAAACTTCACAACTGGGGCATGTACCATAACAGGTTATTTCTGGCTATGACACAGAACTTAAACATGCTGAAGTTCATTTAACATTTCCTTAAACTTTTAGCACACCATTCAAAGCTGATGTGAACACCTTGCTTTAAATTGTGACTTGATTTTTTAGAGACCCTGGGAGAGCTTCACTCGTGCCTTACAAAACATCTGATGCAGTGTCAAGCTGGGATTGTGGCTGTGTTCTGTTCTTCAACAAAGCATCGTCTAGATTCAGATTATTAAAATGCTAGCCAATGTTTTCAACTGTTGAGTTCAGTGCTTAAGGCTTGTTGAGAATATACTCTGTGTGTGGAGTCTTGGCATCTTGCGACAGAATGGAGACAATGGTTAGGACAGCATGAAAACAGAGTGGTGCTTTAAAACAGGAGATCCCCTTGTATAGAATTTGAGGTCACTGGAGAGCAGACAGACGTGACCAACAATTTCATTAGCTCCTTTAGCCAAAATAACTACTGCGTTGTTTATAAGGACACATTGGCTTTAAATAACAAAACCAGAGATACTTCTGTCTACAGCACTGTTTGTGAGCACCAGCAATCCACCCTCCAGGTCACAGAACTCTTAGGAAAGCACAAGTAATGCTCATAGGACAAAAGTGCTTCCATACTTCTGCTCGTTCACAGAGACAGATGAACCACTCTCCAGCCAGTTCATCACCTTGGTTACTGTGCTACATCATTAGCTTAAGTCTGATTTACACTAAGCAGAGCACACTAACCCACACTGCAGCTTTGTGACACCTGTTAAAGACCAATGTCAGTATAAAAGTCACATTGCTTCTGACTGATACCTGATCTGGCACAGAGATTAAGAGACAGATGTCTTAACCCACTGTTTCACCTACTATCATTAAGTCTTGAACACAAAGGAAACACACAGAAGTGAAGTGAAAGAGCATTTCTACCAACATGATCAAGCCCAGCAAATCTGCCTTGATACCACATTCTGAGGAGCTGCAAAAGTCCTTAAATGCTTATAGATAATTCAGAAGTGAATTCTTAAATTGGAAAAAAGAGATTCTAGAAAGTTGTTTGGCTTCCATTTTGGGGGGAGAAGGGGGAAGGGAAGATGAAAAAAAAAAAATCAATTTTCAGTCTAGTTGAGTATTCACTGGAGTAGAGTTGGTGAGCTGGAGCATTCATAGAAATTTGAGACTTGAAGCACTGCCTCAAGGCAAGACAGAGCACATGTACGTGAGGAGCAAGCTTCAGACAAACTGCTGAGCCACGCACCTCGACACTGCATTTTATCTCTGCTGCTATTCCAGTCCTGCATAAAAACAAACTGTATGGCGTTTGGTGAGACAGCTGAATTCAGGGGAAAAAAAACAAATCCATCTGTGATCTAAATTGCATTGAGATGTAGATTTCCAGAAACATTTTAAAACACTACGTTAACAGATTCCGCAGTCCTAAGTTTACTCTGTTTCCTTGTTATTCTCATTGCTTTATTCCAACGTGAGTTTTAAATGAGGATGAGAAGTCTTCAGGAAAAAAGGTGTGCACGTGTTCTGAAATATTCCTGATAAGAACTGTTTATACTTTTCTGTCATCCAGATTTACTGCATTAAAAAAAAAAAATTACAATATACTTCAAAAGTTTTTATATATATCTAAAAAGCACAATACCATGTGTTCCTTCAAGATTTCTCCTATTCCAAGTCTTGTTAGTCTTCATTCTAGTTGCTTGCTACTTTCTGATTTCTGGTCCAGCCTGCTCTTGTTGTTCTTCACCATATAGATGAAATAAGCAAGAGTCTCTTTCTCATTCACAGGAATATTCCTGAAGTGTCGACTGACAGTCTAGAACAACGACATACAAAAAGACAGAAATTTGGAAATTTAAAAGTAGAAATAATCAGAACTCCAGGTTCCCTGCGTTTTCCAAAAATTGATTTTATGGTCGCTGAGTACAATATACTTTTAGGCAAACATGCACCAGTTCAAACTGTCAGTCCTCGTTTACCTCTCTCTGTCTCTCTCTTTACAGCTGGAACGTTCATATGAGCAGAACACAGTCTTGCTATGTCAGCAGTATTTGCAGCCAACCTACAAGCGGAATTTGAAAGCCAGAAAGTCCTCCTGCCAAAGCAGCATATTCTCATTTCATGCTGAGATTATTTGGAAGAGTAAAGTCTTCCTGCATCTCAGTATTTTAAGGCGGGTGTCAGAAATACTGAAACATTTTGCTATGTGAACCAGATGTAGTAAAGTCTTAGATTCCAAAGGAAAATACACTGGGTAAGCTTTCACCAAAAGGAATCCCTGGGGATTTGCAATGGGAATGTCAGGGTTCAGTTAAGGCTACCCATCTCAGACTTGAGTGTAAGCCCTGAACCACAGCTGCTTTTTTTTTTTTTTCCCCTCAGAAAATGAATGTAGAAAACACTTGAGCTGGCTGAGACCTGCTTCTTATATCGAAGAAGCTCTTTTGGTACTCAATACAACTCCAGAGCTGGATATTGATGCAGGCTGAGCAATAAGTCACTCCAAGAAGATTTATGGAAGTTTGAGTTTTCCTTACGGTGGGGTAGCAGCAGGAGTCTAAGAGCCTCAGGCAGCAGTGATTCAAGCATGGGAGCTGGACGAGGATCCAGCGTAGTGTCAAAGCTGCTCAGACTTCACAGGAAATCTGGGAAGTGTGTGACAACTTTAAGTTAGGCTCCCTTTAAGGTTATTTTCCGCTTGCGCAGTAGGTTTTTCTTTTTTTTTTTTTTTTCTTTCCCCTCCTGGGCATATGCATGGTAAATTGCTTAAGTATGCAGTCCTTCATGGCAGGAGGCAACCAACAGACTGGTTACTTATAACATATAAATCTGATATACTAATGAGGACATACAATCACCTTACTCCTACGTGCACTACACTATATATTCTCTATATTCATTCCCTAGCTGACATTGCAAGAAGAAGAAAGTGTTTTGCTGCCTTTTTAGGTTGTTCTTTAAAGTAATAGCAAAACTGTTCAGTCTTTGGGAAGACAGCTGTGAAAACTCCAGCTTACAAAAATAACCTCATTACCACTCAGTAACTGCTACACTTCCTCTAAGTGTAGAGAAGACATTTCCTGGAGAATGCCTTCAGATCATGTTAGGAGAGAAAGAAGAGCAGATGCATGTCAAGCACAACTACCCTGACTAACTGAGTTGCAGAGAGTTATTTCTCAATAAATATGGTGTGAAAGAAACAGTAGAGCTTTTTCCTTAAGGAAAAAAAAACAACCCTTTTTTTGACTTTCTAGAGAATCATAAGACATTGGGACAAGGGAGAGAAATAAGGAATCTGAAGTCACAGTCAGTGATTTTGCCTTAAAAAATAAGCAATTTCAACCAGTTCAGGTGGCTGCAAGGAAATAAAAAATAGGGGCACTTAAGGTGACTATGAATGGGGAAGTTTTAATTTCAGTTAAAACAGCCATCTTCAGCTAATACTCAGGCCAGGCAAAACTAAGTTTGTTTTCCTAAAGGTAACAGATTGTGTCTATAAGTATGGAAGTAAGGGAAGCAGGAAAAAGCAAGTTACTAAAACATGCTTTCAAGAACAGCCTTCCATGATTCCCATGACCACCCCTGGTGAAAGAAAGCACACAGCTTTCTGTTCACACCGTCTCCCGAGATCTGCCATGGAGCACATGCTGCTGTTAGTCACTACACGTATTAGTGTCCAAGAAATGGGCACTCCAGGATAGAAGCAAAAAAGAATTTTAATAACAAGAGAGAATACTAACACTTCATTATCACTTACTTCTGCCAGCTGAGCCTTGTTGAGTCCAGGCCTAGTCTGCAGCTTATAATGTCTCTTGTAACGTCGCAGAGTATTCACCTGGAGCTGGAACAAGTCAACCTGGAGGTGAAACAGAGAACAGGGGATGACTACTCACTTTAGCATCTATTAAGCATAGATGCAGAATGATCTAAAAAAACCCTACTTCCTCATCAACAGAGCTGCTCCTTGCTCACATTCAGAACCACGTCAGCTTGCCTTACGGACAAATCTAAATCTATTTTATACTTGTTAATGCTAAAAGACTAAAATAGCCTCAGGGAAATACGGAATTTCGTTCTGGTTCACATGCTGTCAACAGAGTTGCTGGCCAATTTCTACTATCAATTACACCTCTGCAAGCTCTGAGCAAAAGGAAACCTTTTGTTCCCATAAGGTTTAAAAAGCTCACATACAAAATATCAGTTTAGCAGGCACTGAACAAATGCCTTGTGACATAAGACAGAGCTCAGAGATAAAATGTAATTCAAACATATCAACGGGGAGAGCGCTGCTTACAAGCAGTTGCAGGGGGAGGCTACAGGAAGATAAAGATCATGTGGGAAATGCCATGTTTCAGAGACAGAGAGAAGTGTTGTGTATTTTTCCCTCTCCCTCCCCCCCCCCAAAAAAAAGAAAAAAAATGACAAAGACTGACATGCTGCATAGTTCCACGTTTGGTAACGTGATGAACATCCCTCAGTTTTAAAACACCACACAGCCTACACACACTGCAGCACCAACATCCCTGGATGTTAGCTGGGCTTTCACCAGCTGTTATGGTAACTGATGTGATGTCAGTATTGTGAAGTTTCAGCAGAAAACCAGATGGAACAGAAGCACAAACAGCTACAACAAAGGCTCACGTATCCTCAAAAGCAAAAAAAAATCTCAGTGCTTCTTCCAAACCTCCAAGCAGGTGTGTGAATTGCTGGCATAATAGCTTACTTTTCTTCTGAGGATAAATACTTTTTGGCAGCATGGGTGGCACATCCAGCAGAGGGCTCTGCTGACATAGCCAGAACTCGGTGCTTCCATCACTATTACCTTTGCACAACTTCATGCAGTGCTAACAGTGCCAGAATCATCAAAAAGCAAACACTGCATACAGCGGGACAAAGAGGTGATTCTATCATTTTGTAATGCAGAAATAAATCTGTCTATCTCCTTGAAATAAATAAATGTTACTAATACAGTCTATAACTTAAATGTAATTTTGAGCAGTGCTAGAAGTAAGACATACAAAGTCTGCAGAAGCCTAATATCTCTGGTTCTCAGCAGTCATACAGAGATTGATTCAATATTCTAGATTCTTTGTGAAATGATGCTTGCTAGCTAACAAAGAACCACATCAGGACCTCAGTCCCCTCTGTAAATACAGTTTGCTTAGCTTCAAAAGAAGGAAGCAAGGTTTTCTTACCTAAAAAAGGTAAAGTAACCTAGCAGCTCCCTGTTTGGAAATGGTACATACACAAAGCTGTGCAGTTAGATTATCGTATCTTTTTTTATAGAAAGCTTTACAAGGTCAGAGAATTCCTATGGGGATGACGAAGAAAAGCAGGATATCACACATCAGCTAAGTCTTGCAAATAAAAAAATCAGAGCAACTTCACAGTAGTTTTTGTGGTGCTGAAAATATCCGAGTGAAATTTCACCAGGCTCAACACTGGTAGACTCTACAATCACCTGGCAGCTACTGACCTCCGGGACGTCCGTCTCGTGCTCAGGAGAGTCACCTCCATCATCACTTGTCTTCCTTTTCCGTTTGTTTCGGACACTTTGAATAAAATTCTTGTGAAAATCACATATATACAGATGTCTCACCTAAAAAGCAGAAGTGGTAAAAAAAAGCAATCAAAAGAGGCAGTGTAAAAATGGCATCCAGCAGTATTACAGAGTACCTGCTTACTTCCTCGTGACTAACATTAAGAAATTTCTAATCTTAAAGCACAGGCATGAAAGATTACTTACACTACAAACACTAAAAACAAGGAAAATGAAGGACTCAAGAGCTCCAGCTGAACCTCTGCAGATAACATATTTCTTTTTTATGGTTGTAATCACATGCCAGAAAAAAAAACAGTGGACTGTCTGGAGGAAATGCATCTGCTTTAGGAATTACTGCCAGGGTGCTACCAAGAAAAATGTTGCTCTGTTCCAGCCTCGTGAACTTTCTGGTTTGAACAGTACATGAGATTATTAATTTAGACAAAACAGAAGTTGGCTAATTACCTCAGTTAAAAGAGGCACATTAACAGCAAATGTATCCCTTTGCCATAGCTTATCTTGTCACAGACTCCAGATTTTAACTGAAGTTATCTCACTAAAACTGGCATACGTACAAAAAAGGACCATAAATGACCAAAATTATTTGATACCAATAAGATAAGAATATCTTCAAGTGATGCACACACCCTGCATGCCAAACTCCTTCAAGCAGCACACTTTATATTTCCCATTTCATTCATCTGATTTCCTCTTTCTATCTCTGAAACCCTTAATCTAGCAATGAAGACTTGTTTTCTAGAATGAGGTGACTGCACCACCAAACAAACCCACTGCATGTTGTGATCAGCAGAAATAACATTTTATTCCTGAAACCCCAGAGATTTCAAATTTACTCCCCTTCTTCCCATCACATTCTGTGTCTTGGATGTGTAAAAGAGACGTAAGCAACAGAAGAAGCTGCCAAACTGAAGGACTCGAAACTTCACCTTCTTTATTTTTCAATGCTTTCAATCTGAGATCAGATAATAAAAGCAAGCAGAGCAGACTTCCGGCAACAGCCTCACTGCTGAGAAATGCCCTCTGCAGTCCCCACCACTGCTCTGCTCTATGCATTCTCTGCCCAGCAAGCCCGTTTCTATCTTGAGCTGACAGCTGTCACTTCGTGGCACAAAGAAACCAGCAGCAAACCAAGCCGCTCGGTGCCAACCAGCCAACACATGTGCAAGCGCCCTATTTAAAAGGCACCTCACATTCTGAGTTTGATGCAATGGTTTATTTTTAAGTAACCCGCTCCACTATCGCACTCGTTGAATCACAGAGCGGCATGGGCTGGAAGAGACCTTAACGATCGCCTCGTTCCCACCCGCTGGCAGGGCTGCCACCCACGAGGCCAGGCTGCCCATTCATTCTCCTTAATTAACCAAGTCAGTTACGCTTAACTCGAGATAACAATCCGCACCGTTTATTTCACCTAGCAGCACGAGCGTGTTCCAGCACGAAACCGGGCTTAAAACAGCAGGGCAGCCTCCAAAGCACAGAGCCGCCCGCCTGCCCAACCCAAAGAACCCCGCCGCCCTCCGCTCCGCACCACGGCTCGGTGCCACCCGCATTCCGCGCCTGCCGCCAAGCACCGAGCCCGGCTCCGCGCCCCGCAGCGCCCGGGGAACTCCAGGAAGGCGCAGCCTCCGGAGGCCGCGACTCACGCTTTTGTCGATGTCCAGCTTCAGCTTCTTCTGCGAGATGCTCTTCTGGATCCTCTTGCTGAAGGACGCGTTGCCCGCGGGCCGCACGCAGCGATCGCCGTCGTCGATGAGGCAGCAGCTCTGGCCGTAAAAGGGGGCGGCGGGCGGCCCGTCCCGGCTGTCCTCCTCGGTGCTGAACCCATTCATCGCCCACCCGCCCGCCCCTCGGCCCCGAGCGCGGAGCCGACCGCCGCGGAGGGAGCCGCCGCCCCGCCGCCGCCTCTCAGCGAGCGGCCCTCGGGGGGACCCCGCCGCCCGCCGGGGCCCCCCACGCCTGCAGGGGCCCCCTCACGGGGGGGATCCCCCGAAGCGGCCCGGGAAGGACCGCCCGCCGCCGCTCGCTCCCAGCGGCGCCCGCGGAGGCCGGGCCGCGCCGGGCTCAGAAGCGCCGCTGCCCCCCGGGAAAGCCGGGACCCCGCTCGCACCGCTCTCACACACACACAAAACCGCCTCCCCGGCGGCGGAAGTCCCGCCCCCCCGCCTGCAGGCACGGCGCTGGTTGGACGGGTCAGGCGGGGGGGTGGGGCATACCTCCGCCGCTCTGTGATCCTATTGGGGGATAGCGCCGTCCGTCTGCCGCTACGGCGAGGCTCCGCCCCTCTCCCGCTCTCGCACGGCAGCCGGAAGGCCGGGGAGAGGGGGGCGCGCGCCGTTGCCGGGGCACCGCGGTGCCCCCCCACTGCAGCGGCCTCCCCTCAGCGCCGGGCCCGCGTCCCCTCACGGCCGCGCACGGAGGAAGGCCTGGAGGAACCCGGCGGCTCCCCAGGTCGGCCCTTGCCTGGGCGCTGGGCTAATTAAACAACGCAAAAAACCCCCCCAAAAACAAACAAAACACCAAAAAACATTAAGAAAAAGAAAATTTGGGGCTGAACGTACGTTGCTGCCCTCGTAAATAACTCCCTCAGACACACTCTGGGCACCACCCGACACTGAGGCTCCTGAAGAGAAAGTATTAAATATGTATAATTTTGAATTACACAACAGAGAGAGGGAGAATAGTGAGCTTGGAAGCGTGTTCCCCAGGCAGGCTGACTGGAAAATGCACAAAGAAATGAATGTTGGTAAAGGTGTCACTTTGGAAGCGCTGTCACCTGCGGGCCAGCAGGCAGCAAACACAGCAAACCTTCCTGAGGAGACTTCTTGTACAAAGAAACAACGTGCTATAGGATAACGTATTTCTGCAAAGTCTGAACTCATACAGATGGAAAAATGCACTTCAGTGCAGGATGAGTTGTGCTACAGTTGCCCATGTGAAATACCTCAAAGGCCCACACAGCAACACTAATACTTGTGGCCTCTCCTTCCTTCAAGACAGCCAAAAAGTACTAAAAACACACGTTCCAGGCAGCCCTTGCATCACCAAGTGTGTCTCAATAAATCTTGAGGGCAGGGCTCAGTCTCAGTACACCCCCTCAATAGTTCTGTCTCTTATCTTGGTTTTTATTGCTGGTGCAGTCAATGAGTAATTTATTTGTCCCTACAGCTACTGGAGAACCACAGTGCACTCTCCTGGGGACAGCAGGCCCAGACAGCATCCACTCCAAGGGGGAGGGGTGGAAACAGCTTCACCTTGCAGCCCAACAAGTGGACAGGGAAGAGGAAAGAAACTTAGAGGAGCAAAAAGCCCCCGCTGATAAAAGCTCCCATCCTGATTGCTTGGGAGCTGCCTGCCTGAAGCAGTATGTTGGTACATAGAGCCGAGGAAATGGGAAGCACATAGGAGTGACACTACATCTGTGGTCTTAGATTTCCTGCTAGCTTGCTACTTTTATCTTAATGATGCAAATAAAACTCAAATGTCAGACAAGACTGCCTCAGCATTCAAGAAACTCACAACACAGACTGCAGGGACACAAGATGAGAGCAGCAAGCAATTGGATAAAAGAGAACTTAATGGTAGCAGCCAGGGCTTCCTCCTGTCCTGGCAGCAAGGAGATGCTGCAGGTGCTCCTTGATTGTCTCCATGTGAAGTTGGCTGGAGAAAGAGGCACGGGTTGGTATTTACCATCCCACTGCATTTCATTTCTGACTGTAAACCCCAATCCCATGCAAATGAAACAAATTATTTTTTTTCAAGTTGTCTTGCAATATCTATTAACGGAAAAAAAAAAACCCAACACGTTTCTTTTGTTGCTATTTCAATGCTAGCTACTGCCAGATCAGGGTAATGCAGTGACACATCTTTTCAGTCTTTCAGAAAAAAAGTATGTGGAGGTCTTCATATAATTGCAGTCTATTTCAGCATATTTATCTTCATGGGAACCTGAAGATTTCACAGTCTGCTAGACCAGAACTAGCTTGCTGTAAAATAAACTGCTTCACAGAGCCATTCTTTATTAGGTATCTATCACTAACCTGATCTAATAATTCTTTGTGGGAACTGCAATGAAGTGAGAAACAATGTTTCATACACCCATCAGCACCGAGGCAGCTTTAGTGCCTTTGAAGCAGCGATAGCCTGCTCATCCGAGTCAGCCTCTAATGAAATTAAGGAAACCTGCACAGGCCCTTAAATCTTACCTGGAACAGCACTACCTTCTAAAGATAGGTCTGCAGTATAGCTGTCATCTGGAAGTTGCTGTTTTAATGGCATCATTCACGGTTCTTGAGGCAGAAATACTATTCTCCAGAGAGTATGTGCTGCAAAAGATGTCCTGAGATGGCCTTTTTTTCACCTCCAGTCAGAAATCAGATTATTCCCATTCACTCTGTGTTGGAGGCCCATGGAAACACAGCCCTAGTGGTGCTTCAGATTCTCTCCCTCATCACCATTTCTGTGATGGCATATACTGAGTTGAAGGTGACACTGCTATGGTGCTTAAACTCCCACAGCTATAGGCATGTACTGCCCACTGAAATGCTTCCACGGCCAAGAATCACAGTGCAGCTTTCCCCTAGGAATCTGCCATGCAGTCGTCTGCTGTTCCCAAAGGAAGAGCCTTTCCACACCTTCACACCTGCATTTTCACACAATATTGCTGCCCCCCTTCATTTTATTGCACTGCTTTTCAGTTTTTCCCCATAGAGGCATATAAAAATGAGCTTTGGGAAGGCACGAAAGAAATGAAGTGGTGACATCTCTGGATGTTTTCCAGTGGGGCTGGAGGAGAGCACTGTATCTTGTGTCAGGAATCCTATGGTATAGAAACACCAGACCAGGTAATGAAGCTACTTCTGAGGAGTTGAGAGAAGGAAAATCAATCACCAGAGCAAAACAGTCAGGGACAGTCATTTCTGCATACACAGATTCAGAAAACACATTAAAAATTTATTTTAAATATATTATAAAAGGAAGTCCATTCAACTTTAAAAACACTAGGCATTCTATCAATGATTCCCAGTTTATGAAAGCTACTACATTAAAGTGCTACAAGTCCTTTACCACCCCCAGATATTAGGCTGTTGGTCCTAATATGCACAGAAATAAATATACACTGATTCAAGAGGCACCATCCAGTTTTACAGATAAAATGCATGCAGTACAAGGTATAGACAAACTTAGATCTTATCACCACGATTCTGAAGAACGTCTTTTAAAACCAATTCTCTTCACCACCCTACAGACTAAAGCTATTGTGTGCTTTTATCACAAGGGTAAATACTTTCATCTTTTAGCTTGATCAGGCGGTCTTTTTTTTTTAAGCTTGAACTTCTCTTGTGGTTGAAGGTCTCATTTGCTTGCTCTCTAATTAGGGTTAAAACTTTTTTTCCAAGAGTTGAACTAGTAGCTTTGAGACCACACAGATCCAGTGTCTTTAAATAAGACTGCTGGAATCACTACAGTCCTTTGGGTAATACAGAGGTATCAAGAAAGCTCAAATGCAGTGAGCATAATCAGCTAGCAGAAGCAGAGTTAAAAAAAAAAAAATAGCCATAGGGTTTTAATGAGGATTTCTGTAATATATCATTGCCTAGTTTCATACACAGATCTCCAAGTTAAAGTGTGACACTACAAAGGAGCTAACTGAACACCTACTAAGGTAAAAAATAAAGCACTTAAAGCTAAATCTTACACTGGTTAGGAAATTCCATCACACAGACTCACCTTGCTTAGGTGAGTCAAGCCTACTGCTTGAATCAACCTGAATCAAACCCATTGCTTGATCACTGAGAAATGGAGCAGGACCTCCTAGTGCTCCTGACTCCCAGCCTGGCTCCCCTGTTACCGTGTATATCCTGTGAAAGGCCTTTAGACCGGTCTTCACAGGTCCTGAAGTAACCTAAAGTTCTTCATCGTTTTGGCAATAGTTTGCTAACTATTTAAGAAGCTTGTCATGCTAACTAACTGCTAAAACAAATCTACCTTGCTGCTTCTCAGTTAAGGACCCCTTAGGCACTATCAGGCTCCTTTGTCGCATGTGCTTAGAAACACAGTAGGTGAGTATGAACTTGAACCACAGCAGTTGGGAACGGATAGCACACTTGGATCCCCTGCTAGCAAAGCCAGACTGTTTCACACAATTTTAACAGCACTCTTTTGACTGAAAGAAAACATTACAGGCTGACTGCTAGAGGCTGTCAGTTCTCTCCAGTCAAAACTATTCAAGTGTCTGTTCGTATCTTGAAAGAATTTAAAATAAAGGCTTCTCCCTTTTTACACCCAGCAGTTATGCAATTGCCCAGTACAACTTTTAAGAGATCTCCCTCATCTCCACTCAACGATGCAAGTCAGTGGAGCTACTATAACGATCCTACTATAAGAATAATATGTTCTTGCAATACTGGTTGCTGGTGGTGCTTGTTTGACTTCAGTACAGCAGAAAGGAGGAAAGTTTGCTGCCTGGAAATTTTCAGCAAAGGAAAGCAAAGTCCTGTGCATAGACGTTACAGTAAAACAAACCAGGAAGAAAGTTAAGGGGAGAAATTGCTTTCTTGCTACTTCTGTATTAGATTTGAACAAAGTTGCAAAGTTTCTCAGCCATTGTAGGTATCAACTTTCTGTAAGACACTTCTGCTACAGATCTAATAAGCCCTTGGGACTATTTGTGATTTCTTATTTGGATACTCAGAACATGAAAGGCAGGACCTCACATGCCAGTGAAACTCATTAGCCTTCACCATGAATACCAACAGCTAACCAAGAAAACCTCTGGTCTAGCTTTATTCATTAGTGATAATGTCCACCCTACCCACCCCCAAGTCATGAATTACGTCAATTTAACAGAGGAAACCCAGGAGCTTC